CCGTGCTCCTGTGTGGCCTGCCGTGCTCTTGTGTGGTCTGCCGTGCTCCTGTTGGTCTGCCGTGCTCTTCTGTGGTTTGCCGTGCTCCTATGGGGTCTGCCGTGCTCCTTTTTTTCCGCCTGCCGTGCTCCTGCTCATTTTCTGAGGACGTCCCTAGCGAAAACGTCATTGTTAACATAAGAGGTTGTAAAACACCTCTGTCGGCATCTCATTTTTTCGAGGATATTGTTCGGCCGTCTTGAGGGCACTCTTAGGGCATAGTCTGCCGTGCTCCTCGTCTTGGTCTGCCGTGCTCCTCGTCTTGGTCATCCTTTCCGTCGTCTTGAGGGCGCTCTTGGTGCCTGGTCTGCCGTGCTCCTCGTCTTGGTCTGCCGTGCTCCTCTCGGTTCCTGCGCGCGGTCTGCCGTGCTCCTGTGGGGAGCACGGCAGACCACAGGAGCACGGCAGACCACACAGGAGCACGGCAGACCACACCTCGATTTTAGGAGGATGTCCCCAGCGAAATGCTCGTGGTCTGCCGTGCTCCACACAGGAGCACGGCAGACCACCTGCTCATTTTCTGAGGACGTCCCGAGCGAAAACGTCATTTTTAACATAAGAGGTTGTAAAACACCTCTGTCGGCATCTCATTTGTTCGAGGATGTCTCGAGCGAAACGCTCATTTTTCATGCATAACAAAAATTTTTGATATTTTTCAACATCCCGATTTTTTGAGGATGTCTCGAGCGAAACCGTCATTTTTAACATAAGACGTCTTAAACGATAGCCTCCAACACCTCGATTTTTCGAGGATGTCTCGAGCGAAATGGCCATGTTGGGGAATCCGCCAACGAATGATCCCGTGCGGCCGCGCAACCCATAGATATAAAGATATATATATATATATATATATATATATATTTACTCAAGGATTCAGCCAGAACGTCCCGCTTGCTTCTCGTACCTCGAAGACGCTTCCCGTCATTTCCCGGAATCCGCCAGCGAGGTGCGGGATGCGATCGGTACCCCTTAGTTAGAGAAAAGTAAGCCCCTGAACCAACGGTGCACGCCGGAGGCGCTTCCCGTCATCCGCCAACGTATCAACATTTACAATCGGGAGTCAGTTGTCCCTCGCGAGTTTGTTCTGTATTGATACCTCACTTAGAAATGCTAGATAACTCCCATCACCTTCTCGTTCCGAGAAGGCGCTTCCCGTCATCCGCCGACCCCGTCGGCGTGTGGGTTATTTTTTTGCGTTCAAGTCGTCGTCGCCGTCATTCGTTACTCGCCGTCGCTGTCGTCCTCTTTCCTTGCGCTCTCCTTTTCCCTGTTCCCGTCGCCAGGCCTCCCTGCATGCCTGGGCCCTCGTCCGCAAGCGCGCCAGCCAACGCGTAATTGAGCAACGTCGTAGTAGAATGACTCGAAGGGATTACCGCCGAGAGGAGGGGAGGTTCCCGGTCCGGTCCCGGGCGGGGGGGTCCCAGGGGAGGTCCCGGGTGGGGGATCCTGGGGGGCCAGGGGTCCCAGGTCGGATGCGACTCCCCTCCGGAGTGTCTTGGAGGTCACTTGCGGGGAAGCTCTCCAGAGGACCCTGGAGGGTCCTCCTGCTCTTCCTCCTCCGCCCCCTCCTCCTCGTCCTCGTCGTCGTCGTCTTCTCCAGGGTCGGCGGTACCGGCCGTGAGGCCTTTTTATGCCCGCAGCATGCGTTCCACGCTGTGATGCGCCAGAAAGGAGGAGGAGGAGGAGGAGGAGGAGGAGGAGGAGGAAAGTATCTCTGACATCACCTGAGAGCTCGGGCCAGCACCGCTCGGCGGGCTCCAGCGCTATCCATCGCCAGTCGAGCCACAGCTCTGCAAAGACGGGTCGCAGCGCCGTGACCTGGCGTCCGCAGTGGCGCTTCGCATTCTTTTGCATTTCGTGGTTGGAAGCCACGACAGGACGCAACTTCTGAGAAAGAGCTGCCGCGGCTTCGCACTCCTCTAAATGCCAACTTGTCGTCAACAAAGAGGGGCCCACCACTCCAAAATTCCGTCTTGCCGTTACGAATGAACACCAGCCGGATCATTACGTCTACCTTGTGGGAGCAGGCTTGAACCTGAAACGCAAAAGGCTTCAGCTTCAATCGCAAGGGCATGCCCCCGCCCCCTTGGGCAGTCCCGAGTGACTGAGATGGCTAGCGCTACTCATAAAAGAACATCAAAAAAACATACATAAAACATCTTGAACAGCCTGGAAACAAACGGTGTGGATCTCGAGTCCTCCAACTGGTGAGCCAAGAAACAGAGAAACATAAACACAAAGTGGAACCGGTGTGAAGCGGGGGTCCAGCGACAAGCCAAGAAATCTGCGCGGACCTCCGAAAGTTCATATCTGTGACGCTTCTGGGTTCTCGACCAGCTAGCTTATGGGCCGCATTCCAGGAACTCCTGGGCGCTGCGTGTACATGCAGGGCCCCTCGAGCCTGAGGTGGGGGGCCTCCAGTCGGCGGCGAGCGAGGGGGGGAAGTGAGAAGGTGAAGGCGAAGGCCTTCTCAGAAGGCTAAGAAGTCCCCTCGGCCTTCCGGGAAGTATTCTGAGCCTCCCGCGAAGACGAACAACAAATTCTCGAAAGGCGCGAGGGCTTCTGAGCAGCCCCGCCGCCTTCTGAGAAGGCCCTCTCCTTCTCGTCTTCCCCACCTCGCTCGCAACCGCTCCCAGGGGGTGGGGGAGATCCCGCCCCCCACCACCTCGGAGGTGCTCCGCCCGGGGCCGCTCCTTGCTTGCCTCTACTTCCGAGCCCGGCCCGGCGTCTGCTCCCCGTCGGCCGCCACCGGGGGCGTGCTCCGCCGAGGGGGCCACGCTCGCAAACTCCCCCGCGGGAGGGCGCCGAGCGTGTGCTCTTCCCCCGGTGGGCGGGAGCCGCGCGGGCCCGAGGCCGCTGGCAGTCCCGCGTGGGCGACCGAGCGGGGGCGGGCGCCGAAGGGGCTCGCAGACGGGTGGCAACCCGTGGGAGCCACTCAACGCCATCTTCTCGGGCATCGGCGACGGCTTGCGCCTGTGTCTGCCTCTCCCTCCTCTGGGCGTCCTCTTGGGAGGCAGAAGGGCGCAGGGTGGGCCTCGACCCCCGGTGCCAATCTTGACTCCTCGGTGGCCACTGCTGGGGTCCTCCCATACCATCTTGTCGGCTCTTGCGTATCGACGCTCATCGACGCTAAATCGACGCTACATCGACGCTAGAAGACCCCACATTGGCGCTATTCCATCGACTCCCAGACGCTAATCGACGCTCATCGACGCTGAAGACAAAATTCACAGGGCACGCCAGGCCCCCATGATTTGCTACCGAACCGTAGGGCACCTCTGGGGCCCCGACGCGCCCCCCCAAACTGCTCAGAGAAAAACGGGGTGGACAATCAGATGCGCGGCGATCACAAACGGGTCTTACGCGAGATGCCACGGCGACCTCACGCGGTGGCTTACGCGGGCCGCCGGCGCGGCACGCTGCAGCGGAGACGAGGGCGCTTACGCGCGACCTGACGCGGGCGGCTTACGCGCCAACGTCGGCGAAGACGACCCAGTTTTGTGTTGCGTCGCTCCTATGGCGATGCCGCTGCTCTCCGGGGCACCAGGACCGTCAACAAAATCGACGGCACGAAGGCCCCCTCTGTGGAGGTGGCGAGGACTGGATGGGCCAGCGACTAGTTCCGAAGCCGAGCCATCGGAAATCCGCCGACCCTGCTGGCGTGTGTGAGGGGCTGGTCCGTTCGAGTCGTCCTCTCCGTCCTTTGTTCGTCGTCGTCTCTGTCGTCGCCCCTTTCCCAGGGCCCGTCGCCGCTCCCCTCCCCCTCCCCGGGGCCTTCCTCCTCAAGCACCGGGCCCGTCGCCGCTCCCCCCCCACGCTTCCCTGTGCCCTCCTCCTCGAGCGCGCCAGCCAAGGCGAAATCGAGCAACGTCGCAATTGACTCCAAGGGAGGTCCCTTCCCTTTGATCCCTCCCACGGGGGGGGTCCCAGGTCAGATACGACCCCCCCCAGGGGAGTCCCGGGGCCCCAAAAAGCTCCAAGACGGGTCAAGAGTGCCCCAAGAGGCCCCCAAGACGGTCCAGGAGGGCCCCGAATCGCCGAACGATCTGTCCAAGACGTTTTGACGGCCTCCAGACGGCCCAAGAGCCCTGCAAGACGCCCCAAGAGGCCTCCAGGAGACTCCAATCACTGATTTCCCATTGGTTTTTGGAGCATTTCGGCGTTCTCGCATCTGCCGCTTCCCGACGCTCCAAGACGGCCCCAGAGGCCCCCCAGATCGCCCCAAGACGGCCCAGGAGGGCCCCAAGACGGCCCAAGACGTTTCCAAGAGGCACAAGAAGCCCACCAGTCGGCTCCGAAAGGGTGCCCATACGAGGGACCAGAACGAACACTTCGAGCCCTCGGCCCCGAGAGGCTCCTAGGAGGAACAACGAGACCCCCAAGAGGCCCCCAAGATGCTCTAAGAGGCCCCCAAGAGGCCCCCAGGAAGCCCCGAGAGGCCCCCAAGAGACTCCCAAGAGGCCCCCAAGAGGCTCCCAAGAGGCCCCTAAACTGTCCCCCAGAGGCCCCCGAGAGCGCCCCCAAGAGACCCCAAGAAGCATCCATGAGGACTCTGACCCCCACGTCAGCGTCGTCGCCGCCGCCGCGGCCGTTGTCGTCGACGCCTTCGTAGCATGGGACCCTTGAGTCTGCTCAACTTGTTTTGTTTACCCTCGTTGCGGTCCGAACATCTGAGACGCTCCAGAAACTCCGGAAACATAACATTTACGTTTTTTGGAAGAGGGCATCTGTTACTTCTGCCGCCTTCCGCTAGCCTTCCCCTGGCGTCACCGCCCCCATGTTGCTTCCGCCGGCCGTCCGTCACCTTCCGCAGGGGAAGAGAAGGCCAATTCTTTCGATCCTTCTGAGGCGAAGCCCCTTCTGAAATGACCCCATCTGGAACCAAATCCAGCCGTGACAGGGTGAGCTTGCGAATGGCCGGGCCAATACCAATGCCGATGCCGGGGGTATCCCGACACAGGTCACCCGCCACGCGGGCGGCCATCTGCGAAGCGGGTCCTCTGCGGATTGGAGGACTTGGGCACCACATGGCAGCCCTTCTGCGTGGCCCACCGCAGCAGGACCTGCGCCGGAGTCACGCCGTGCGCAGCAGCTGAAGGCCGGCGTCTCTTTTGCGGGGGGGGGGGGGGGGGCCAATCGGGGAGACACAAGGCTCGGATTCGGGGGACGAGGGTTGGCCTGACGGGGCCATCAAGAAAAAAGACGAAACCCAATCGAGAATCTGGCGCGAGCTCCCGCTAGAGAACTTCCGCGAAACCTGGACCGTCGGAGTTGAGGACGGGCATGTCAAACGTCGGCGGACTCAAGTCTCACGCTCTATCGATCTAACCAGGGCGGGCGTGCTGCTCGCCTCGGGTGCTGTTTGGCTCGCCTCCGTCTCATCTTGCACCTCAACGCTCCCGCCTGGCGGCAGACGGATCTGGGAGAGTGCGCGAACGCTCCGCCTGCAAGTCGTGTGCGAATGCTCCACGCAGACACACGCAGTCGGGCGTCGATGACGGCGGAAACGACGATGACGGCAACGACCATGACGACGCCGACGACTCTGAGAACGACGACGGCGACGACGACGGCGACGCCGACGGCGGCGACGCCGATGCCGGCCGCGACGACCGTGAAGGCGGGCTCCTGCTGCCTGCACCTCCGGGAAGGCGAAGAAGCTCTCGGTCTGTCGCGCGTCCCCAGAGCCCAGGGAGGCATACGCCTGGCGAAGCATGGGGGGACAGAAGGAGCGGGAGGAGGGCCGATCATTCAGAAGGCGTGCGTGCTAACGCAGACGTATTTTTGTCCACAGAGGCCCTTCGGCATGTGGAGCTCGGTGCGCTGAGGGCCGACAAGGTTCTGACATACTCGGCGGATATTACCGAGCAAGGGGAACCCGAACTGGGCGATTCTGCGCTCGAAAAACTCGACGTCGTGATTCTGGAAAGTCCGCGGGCCCCTGAAATCTCCTCGGTCCCCTGTCCAGGGACTGGCTCTTCGTCCCGAGTCGGCGTTCGACCTCAGGACCCGAAGGCGGCCCAAAGGCTCAGAACATCGCTGAGCTCACATCGGGCGTGTCCTCCCACGGGTGGATCTTGAGAGAAGCGTGCAAGATAGACAAGACAGGTTCACAAATAAGCAAAAGAGCATGAGAGTAACAATCCCCAGAGTGCTTATTGTTTTTGCCTTGTCGCCATTTCGTCTCCGCTCCAATGCGTCACTAGCCACGGGGCCTCAACCGCCACCCCCACAGCTCCAGAACCAGATGCTGCGAGGGCTTTGGTTTTGGCCGCACAGTGTCCGTGGGCCACGATCAGATGGTGAATGCCGCGCCACCTCCCCAGTGGCACAGCGGCCAGAGCCAAAGGCCAGCAATGACAATGTTGAGCACCTCATCTGCTTCAGTGTGCCAAGACGCCACCTCCGGATGTCGAGAGGGCATGATCGAGGCGCGCCGCCCGAAGCCGACCCAGGCGCCGACGCCTGGCGCGGCCCCCGGTGGCTCGGGCTGCGGCGCGAGGTGCGCCGGGCGCGAGGGCCCCCCCCCCGGGCTCCTGAGTAGAAATGTCCAGCCAGGGGGATGTTGCTCCCATCGTCCTTCAGGACCACATCCCAGGAATCATTTCGAGCACCCGAAGAGAAAAGTATCGAAACAGTGTCGAGCGAGCATCGCCTCCCAGGGCCCGACGCGTGGCATCCCTTCTATTTCGGTGCTTTCTTGGTGCTCGAAATTCTGTCTGGTGGTCAAGACGAATGCAGGTTGGAGCATCATAAAGCCAGGGGGATGAAGGAGGCAAGGAGGCACCCATGCGAGCAGAGAACCGCTTCGAGTGGGCCAGCCCAACAGCGCTCCGCGGCACGCCCGCAGCCGAAGCCGAAGCCGAAGCCGAAGGAGAGGGGGTGTGGCGAGGGAGAGGGCGGAGAGCCAAGCTACCAAAGGGATGAGGCGAATGCGAGAGAGTGGAAGGCCGGGAGGACATCAGCTGCTTCCCTCCGCGCAGGAGCAGGTGTTCGGTGCCGGCGGCGCAGAGAAAAATGCAAGGGCGAGGGGCACAAGGGTCTGCCCCCCCGCCCCCACCCCACCCACCCCGCGCACCAGCTCTGGCTGGAACCCTCGCGCTCCTCCAACACTGACCACGGCACTCCCCGCCTTGTAGTGGAAATCTACCAGCGCCTTCGGCTGCACGCAGGAGCGACCCCTGGGCAAGAGTGTCCTATGGCGTGCGCGGCCTCTGGGGGACCGCGGGGAACCCCAGCACTGAAGGGGCCCTGGGACACACACAAATAAATACACACAAATAACAGGATTCCCCATATTTTCCTTATCTTTTCTGGGTTTTTGTCTTCCCCCCCAATCCCCATATTTTCGCATATTTTCCTGGGAGTCGACGATGAATTGCCTCTGTGTGTTTTTCCCCTCCTCAAGCACGAGCGCGCGAGACGCCACGCCGTCGCGCCGCGCCCGGCGAGCGGAGGCCCCCTTGCGGACCTCCGCACCATGGCGGCCCCCTCCGGCGGGGCGGGCCGCGCTCTGGCGTGCGGCCGGTGCCTCGGCCTCTAAAACAGGGCTACGATGGGGATAAATCGCTCCAGAGCGTTCCGGAGCGCTCTCAGAGCGTTCCGGAACGCTCTGGAGCGGCCGCGGCGCCCAACACATCCTCCAAACCCGCCGATTCTCAGAGATTTCGAGTCATCCCGATCCGACGTTGTCCCGATCTTCGCGTCGTTTTAGCCTCGGCTGGCACCCGCCGGCGCAGGGCCTGGCCGGCCGGTCCCGTCCTGGCCCCCCCGGGCCTGGCCAGGAAGGGGAGGAGGAGGAGGAGGAGGAGGAGGAGGAGGCGCAGGGCCTGGGCCGGCCGGTCCCGTCCTGGCCTGGCCTGGGGCATTCGCGGGGTGCCTGGAGCGCCCCGATCGGCCGGCAGGGACGCGAGCTATACGCCCGAGCCATCGCCGCCGGGACCCATGAGACCCCGGCGTCGCAGTCTTTTGACGATGGGCGATTTCGCTATGCTAGGGAGCCCACAAAGGACGTACGCGCCCAGCTATGTACATGAACACGGCCCCTCGATTCGCGAGACCGGCCGCGTGATACGAACATTTGTGCAATGCGTGCTCTCGAAACCAGCGTGGACTCATGTACATGCACGTCCTTCTTTCGCTCCTGATATGCTTCGGGCCCCGGGGCTCGGATCGAGTTTTTGTTTGTGCGGTGTTGCGTGTGTTTCGTAACGTCGGGTCTCAGGCCAGGCCCCCCCCGGGCCTGGCCAGGGAGGGGGAAAGCGGCACGCCGATGCTGGGCGCAGGTCGGGCCTGTCCCTCTGCAGGAGGGGGTATTCGGAAATGGTCAAAAAGCAGTCTGGGCAGGATTTGCTTTTAGTATGTTCGGGCATTCAGGGGCGTATTTGTGGAGTGTTCTGCATGTTGTCGCGCCGAATCCCCCTGCAGGGGGACAGGCCTGACCTAATGCTGGACCCAGGATGGGCCTGGTCAGGGTCGGTGGACGCGGAGAATGAGGCGGCGTCCCCTGGCGAGGGGCTGACAGGGGGGGGGAACAGCGAGGGGGGCGGGAGGCGAGGGGGAGGCGCGGGAACAGTGGGAGGGGACGAGGAGGAGGGGAGAAGAGCGGAAGTACGGTGTTGAGCTGTCCCGGGAAGTGTGGATAGGAATGTGGCGCAAAGGCCGCTGGCGACATGTATAGAAGCGCAATTCATGTGCCCGGCGCGGGTGCAGAGACACACGAGGCGCCCGTGTCAGAGACGGGGCAGACGAGAAAATGCAGTGGGGACGCCGGATGAGATGCGCGCAAGATACAGGAGCCCAGGGACAAACAAATAAATATACACAAAGCCCCGGATTCCCCGTATTGCTCCATAGTTTCTGGACTTTCGTCATAGTTCCCTGGGGATCAACGATGAGGTGCGTCTGTGGGGTTTTCCCTTCCTGGCAAGAGAACGTCAGATACGAAAACGCTGGTGGAAGCATGCCCGGCGGAGGGAAAGGACGCGGGTGATGGCGGCGTGCCTGGCGGTGGTGTCACTCCTTTGCCGCCTGCGCGCTGACCCAGGGCGGTGAAGGTATACTAGACTGCTGGATTACGACGCGCTGCTGAGACAAGGGGAAGGAGGAGGAAGAGGAGGAGGAAGGAGGAGGAGGAGGCGAACGATGAGGAGGAGGAGGAGGAGGAGGAGGAGGAGGAGGAGGAGAAGCAAGAAGAGGGAGGAGGAGGAGGAGGAGAGGGGGGGGAGGAGGAACGGAGGAGGAGGAGGGAAGGAGGGAGGGGGGGGAGGAGGACCAGGAGGGGAGGAAGAGGAGGAGGAGGAGGAGGAGGAGGACGGCGGAGGAGGGGGAGGAGGGTGGAGGACGAGGAGGAGGGGGAGGAGGAGGGGGGATGTGCCCCAGAGCCCCCGTGGACGCCAGCGAGGCAGGCGGGCGCGCCGCGCGGCACGCGCCTGGACTTGGATGCCGTGCTTCGCACAGAAGTCCAGGAGCTCCGTCTGCACCAGCCGGGGATGAAACTCCACCTGGCCGGGTGAGCTGCACCCCCACGCGCGCTCCTCGAGTGACTGCCGCTTCTCGAAGCGGCGGAGGCAGCTGCACGAGGTGCAGTGCGGGGTGTAGCTCGCAGGCGGCAGGGGCAAGCTTCTGCCAAGGTTGACCCTCCATAGGCGTGGTGTGATAGGTCAGGCGCATCCTGGCTGGTGGTACTGATGTGCGTGGTGTCAGGGCGTGCAAGCATGGGACACGAGGCGGGCGTGACGGTGATGGTTGAGATGCGGATGGCAAGCAAGACAGCGCGCAATACCGAACCTCCCTCCCTCCCCCGCGCCACTATCCGCGTCGAATCCGTGTCGAATCCATGTCGGACTCGTCGCATCCGCGTCGAATCCGTGTCGAATCCGCGTCGAATCCACGCCCAATGCGCGCCGAGTCCGCATCGAGCCCGCGTGGGGCACAAGAGAAGACACCCATTCTGGGGACAGGCGAGGCCCCCCGAAGGTGCAACGTGAGCAGGGGTGCTTCTCAGAAACCGTCCCCCCTCCCCCCTGTTCGGGTGCAGCTGCGGGAGCCTCCCGCACCATCCTGCCGGCTCCTGCGAGTCGACGCTGGATCCGCGCTGAATAGACGCTGCATCGACGCTGAATCGACGCTGAATCGTGAAGGGGCCCCAGGACACACAAATAAATACACACAAATAAAGATAATCCCCATATTCTCCCATATTTTCTGGGTTTCTGTCTTCCCCCCCACTTCCCATATTTTCCCATATTTTCCTGGGGGTCGACGATTAATTGTGTCTGTGTGTTTTTCCCTCCTGAATATAGTATAGTTATGTTGGGGTGACGCCGACGGCAGGGCCGTGTTTCCACCGTTTTCGAAGAAACTTCTTTTGAATGTGGAACCCAAGTAAAACAAAACGGCGACCAGAAACGGCACCAAAAAACTGCTCTGGAACTGGCCGGAACCGGCGGCAAACACGGCGACAGAAACGGCGACATTTTCCTGGGGATCGACGATTGATTATGTCTGTGTGTTTTTGCCCCTCCTAAGCTGAATCGACGCTGAATCGGTGCCCCTCCGCGCGAGGACGACGAGGCCGTCCGAGGCTGGCCGAGCCTGGCCACGCCGGCCGTGCTCCAGGCCGCGATCGCCCGCGCAGGGGGGCCACCGCCGCGCCGTGCGCGGCGCGCAGCCTGCCGCTCCGCGGGCAGGACGTCGACTGTCCTCCTCCTCCCCCTCCTCCTCCTCCTCCTCCTCCTCCTCCTCCTCCTCCGCCTCCTCCGTCCTCCTCCGTCCTCCTCCTCCTCCTCCTCCTCCATCCTCCTCCCCCTCCTCCTCCTCCGTCCTCCTCCCCCTCCTCCTCCTCCTCCTCCTCCTCCTCTCCTCCTCCTCCTCCTCCTCCCTCCTCCTCCTCCTCCTCTTCCTCCTCCTCCCCTCCTCCTCCTCCTCCTCCTCCTCCTCCTCCCTCCTCCTCCTCCTCCTCCTCCTCCTCCTCCTCCTCCTCCCCCTCCTCCTCCTCCTCCTCCCCCTCCCCTCCCCCTCCCCCTCCCCCTCCTCCTTCTCCCCTCCTCCTCCTCCTCCTCCTCCTCCTCTTCTCCTCCTCCTCTCCTCCTCCTCCTCCTCCTCCTCCTCTTCCTCCTCCTCCTCCTCCTCCTCCTCCTCCTCCTCCTCCTCCTCCTCCTCCTCCTCCTCCTCTCTCCTCCTCCTCCTCCGTCCTCCTCCCCCTCCTCCTTCTCCTCCTCCTCCCTCCTCCTCCTCCTCCTCCTCCTCACTGCTCCTCCTCCGCTTCCTCCCCCCGCTCCTAGCCCTTTCGATCAGGGTCGGCGGCACCGGCCGTCAGGCCTCTCCAATACACACACAACTGTCAGAATCCCTCATAAGATTCAATATTTGGGGGATTTTCGTCTTCCCCCCCAAATCCCATATTTTCCGCATGTTTTCTGGGGAATCGACGATTCATCGTGCCTGTGTATTTTTTTCCCTCCCGATGGATGCAACCCCCAATTAGAGTGTTCATCGAGTCTGCAACGCAGGCGTCCTCTTTTCTCGGACTCGGCGGCCATGCTCTGCACATTTTTGTTCGGTGGGTTCGGAGAGAGGTTCCATTTTCTGGGGTGAGCCTCCATTCTGCCGCCGATCCCCTGCTCGAGCTCTCGGCTCCTGGCGAGGGGAAGGGGGGGCGAGGGGCAGCAGGGCGGGGCGCGGCGGGGGCAGCCTGGGGGGCGGCCGAGGCGAGCGAACAGCCCACCGACATGCTTCCGCGGGCGGCGCGCACGCGACGCCGCGTGCGACGGGCGGGCCCGCACGGGCGTGGCGTCTCTCGGGCACAGCCCGCGGGACGCAGCGCGCGGGCAGCCGCGCGGAGAGGCCGGCGGAGACAGGCAGACCTGGGGAGGGGCCCTCGAGGGCGAGGGGGCACTCGGGGGCACCGGGCCCGGCAGCACGGCACGGAGGCAAGAAGGGGCACAGCACTGCAGGGCGGGGCAGGTCGGGAGGCTCTGAGGCACCAGCGGGTCCAGAGCGTGCACCTCGGGCGCCGCGGCTCCTCCAGAGCGCTCCAGGGCCATCCGAGAGCGTTCCGGAACGCTCGTTCGGGAAGGCTCTGGAGCGCTTATGTTTCTTCCGCGGGTCTCCTTCTTCGTGGGCGTGCCTGCTCCTGACCCCAGGGTCTTCCCCAAGGTGGGCTCTTCGTCCCGAGTCGTCTCCTGACTGCCCCGGCGATCCATACAGGGCCCCAGGGAGGCCGAAAGCAGCAAAAAACTTGAGATCCCTTTCTCTCAGGACCCCTCCCTATTGGCGGATGGAAGGAAGTAAGGGGGTCCCCAAACGGCTGCCGCAACGGTGCCCGCAGGAACGGGAGCGGACCAGATTGACCACGTAGGTGCCCTCAGGGCACCCGGTGAGGAAGGTCAACCTTGGTTGATCGCATATAACTAGAACATCAGAATGCAGCCCAAATGCGCCCAGACTCCTGGCGGACAACAAGGGGCAACAAGCGCCAGCCAGGAGCCACGAGAACCGTGGGAAACGAGGTGGGACTCATGGGTATGAGGAGTGGGGAAGAGGAGGAGGCGGAGGAGGAGCAGGAGGAGCAAGATGAGGCAAAGAGGTCTCCAATTCCCTGGAACTCTCCTCCAATCTTGCCATGGAAGTCCCAGGAAGAAAAACGTGATACTTTCGCGGGGGACTATCGGGGCCTCCATGGCGCAGAAAGTGTCAACACATTCAAAGCTTCGTATCCTCCTCCTCCTCCTCCTGCTGCCCCTCCTCCTCCTCCTCCTGCTGCCGCTGGAGGAGGTTCGGGAAGATCCCGACGTGCAGGCCTCCAGCGAAGTCAGCAGCGTGGCCTCTCCTGGAGGTGATGAGCACAGCAATGGTGTCCAAGGTGGTGGTGACCTTGGCGTTCTGCTCTCCGACGGTGAGCCTGCTGACGACCCTGGCGGAGGTCCTCATGATAGTGATTGCGTTGCCCTCTTCTCCGAGGGCGAGCCTGCTGATGAGCGTGGAGGACATGGTGTTGAAGATGGTGTGGCCCTCGGACATGGTTGTGGTGATGCTGATGGTGCTGTCATTCCGATCGCGCTCCTGCAGTTCCTGGTTCAGCAGCAGGAAGCTGGCGCCGTGGTCTACGAGGGCGACCTCATCGCGTGGCAACTCGAGCAGATCGAGGACAGCATCCAGTCCGAGACACACCTCATGGAGTGCGAGACGGAGGTCCAGGAGGCCATCGACAAGATGATCGACCAGGGTCGCGTCTCCGTCATGAGGCCGTCGCTCGGCCCGTCGCGCGCGAGCCGCCTGCTCGCGGCTGGCCGCCCTGCGGTCGTGCGTTCGTGGCCGAGCTCGGGGCATCCTGGGGGCGGCGTAAGTGGCGGATCCTCGTGTGGTCCCAAGCGCCACCCCCCAGGAGCCCTAAAAAGCGGCGCCGAGGGTGGCGGAAGTGGCGGATCCTCGTGAGGTCCGAGCGCCACCCCGTCGGCGCCGCCCGTCGTAGTCCTGCGGGACTCTTCCCCTCGGGGCTGCCCTACCTACCTACCTCCTCCTCCTCCTCCCCCTCCTCCTCCCCCTCCTCCTCTTGGAAGAGCAGAAGGAGGGGGAGGATAAGGAGCATGGAACCAGTTGCCAAACCAAGGAGGAGGGGGCAGTCCCTGCCTCACTTGTTCACCACCCCACCCAGGGTCAACCCCGTCGGTCGGAGGCATGAACCATCTGCTACGATGGCTAGAATTGTGTAAACGTTTCGCCAGGTTCTCCGTCTGGCTGAGCGCCCTTGCCCTGTCTCGGGGGAGCGCATGCGCCATGGGCACCTCGGTGGCCCATGTTTCTTGCCTGGGGGTGCGAATGGTTTTCGCCAAGATGCTGGCTACGTGGGCGTCTGGCCGCGAGAAGCGGCGCCAGGCACGGTGTTTGAACCTGTTCGGACATCAACGGGAAGCGCCGATGCTGTAAATTGGGCTTGTAGCTCGGAAAAGAAGAACAGAACGCGACGGATGACGAGGATGACAGAATGTTCGACGGGAGGGCAGCGAGGGGAGCAGGAGGACAGGAATAAGGAAGACAAGCACAATAATGAGGACGACGAGATGGATGCCTCGTGCAACCTCGCACCGGTGCTCTGGCTACGTGGACGCGGCTCTTCGATATAGTAGACAGATAATATCAACAATATGAACGGTCTCACTCCTTCGACTTCCTGGAAGTCGCTTCCCACCATCCGGCAGCGAAATCTGGGATAGAACCGGCACTCATTAATCAACGAACAAATACTTCAGAAAAACTGCCCTCGCAGGAGGCGCTTTCCGTCATCCACCGCCGTGCCAGAAAGCAAAGTGCTGCTATGTAGGGTTTCTGTATTGTTATAAGGGCCCCCCCCGTCCCAGGTGAGCACCGCGTGCACCCCCCCACCTCCCGAGGCCACGATCTCCCATTAAAAATGGACCCGTGCTCCCGAGGCCACGATCCTTTGCTTAAAAAACTGGATCGCGCCCCGAGCCGAGCTTCCATGCCACCACAGGCACCAAGAAGGCCCAATACGCCTCGAAGGCGGCCCAAGATGGCCCCAAGGCGGCCGAATATGGCTTGAAGACAGCCCAAGATGCGCCGAAGAGGGCCTAAAAACGCCACAAAATGACCTCCAACAGGGCCCAAAGACGCGCCCGTAAGTTTTTGAATGAGTTTCGCATTCTTGCCTTTTCGAGCTTCCGTCAGCTCAAGACGGCCCAAGAAGTCACCACGATGACCCCAAGCCGGCTCAAGAGGCCTCCAAAAGGGGCCCAGGATCACCCAAGAGGACCCCGCGATGACCCAAGAAGCTTGAAGACGGCCCCAAGACGGCCCAAGGGGGCCTCCCGTGGGACCCAAGACGGCCTCCTTGGAAGGCCCTTCGACGGCCCAAGACGGTGCCAAGATAGCACCACGGCAGCCATCAGATACCCACCCTACGGCCAAGGGGCCCCAACACGGCCCAAGAGAGCCCTAAGACGGCGCAAGAGGGCCCCAAGACGGCCTAAGAGGGCTCAAGGGACCCACAAGACTGCCTCACAGGAGGCCAAGACAGCCCCAAGACGGCCCACACGATCGCCATGAGAGCTCCTGAAATAATGAAGACGAAATGTGCCACATGTGACGTCCTTCCTCTTCCTTTCTGTCCTGCTGCTCCTCCTCCTCATCATCCTCTTCGTAACCATCACTCCCATCATCCTCATACTCCTTGTTCATCTTCATAACGGCTCCCCTAAGCCTGGAGACACGAGATGCCACACGTGACGGCCTCCCGTACCCACCTCGAAGGGACGCCACCCGAAATGCTGGGCTGGCACGAACGCGAGACTTACCGCAGGCGGCTTGACAATTTCCCACACCTTTGCTCCATGGTCTGCGCTGGTTCTCCCGAGCCCACGCCGACCTTCTGGCCACAATGTTATTATACTGCCGCTTCATTGTCGTCTGCTCTCCGTCCCTCCTTCTCCTCCATCTCTACCCTCCGCCCCATCTCCATCTCCGCCCTCGCTTGTACAACACCTGGTAGGAGTTGCACAACGAGGGCGCATATGAGCGTCCGACTTCCCCTGTACCATCCCCCTGTCCTCCTCCAATTTAGGTTTCCTACCGCGTCCTCGTCATCCTTCTCTACTTGTCACTTTCGTCACTCTTGTCATCATCCCCCACACCCTGCGTACTCCTCATCATCATCCAGCGTGCTCATCCTCCCCCTCCTCCGGAGTACGCATCATCCCCATGATCCCCATTCTTGCCAACCTCCTCACCACACTTCCCCTTTCTCCTTGACTCATCCTTCCTCCTCCCCGTCCACTCCCTCCTCCAGCCCCGTCTCATCCTCATTACCCTCCTCCTCCCGTTCCTCCCCCCACTTCCCCAACCTTCCACGTCCCCGCCTGGTTCACCATGGGCTTGACGCGGCATGTCTCCAGCAGCTGCTGCAAATGCCGGATGGAATAGTTGGTGACTCCGATGGCCTTCACCTTGCCCTGTTCGTACAAATCCTGAGCGGCACACGCCAGAGCATAAAAGCGAAGCAACCCCAGAACCCCTTGAATGCCCAAAGCAGTGCCTCAAAGCTACCCAAAGCTCCTATTTCCCTCCCCCCACCTCCTCCCCCTCCTCCTCTTCCGCTTCTTCTTCTTCTTCTTCTTCTTCCTCTTCCACCTTGTCCTCATCATCATCGCAATCCTCATTATCCTCCTCATCGTAACCAACATCAACATCACCATCAACATCATCCTCATCCTCATCCTCATCATCAGCATCTACACCAGCATCAGAAGCAGCACATCACATCATCAACACCATCATCACCAACATCATCATCACCATCACCATCATCATAAGCATCCTCACCATCAGCATTGTCACAATCATCATCATCATCATCATCATCATCATCATCATCATCATCATCAGCATCAACATCATCATCATCATCAACATCATCATCATCATCATCATCATCATCATCCGCATCCCAGTATCATCTTCATCGTCATCATCCTCATCCTCGCCAGCACCATCATCACCAACATCATCACCAGCATTGTCAGCAGCAGCATCACAAGCATCATCAGCGGCATTACATCATCCTCATCATCAGCAGCATCACCACATCCTTATCCTCATCAGCATCAGCATCATCAGCAGCATCACACGCATCATCGGCAGCAGCAACTCATCTTTGTCATCACAAGCATCATCAGCAGCATCATCATTAGCATTGTCAGCATCAGCATCAGCATCAATCTCATCAAGCATCATCCTCACCATAATCATCATCATCCTCATCATCGTCATCATCAGCATCGCCATCATCGCTAACATCAGCATCAGCATCGTGATCATCGCCATCATCGTCGTCATCGTCGTCGTCGTTGTCATTGCCATCGTGATCGCCATCATCATCATCACCATCGTCTTTCTCATCACCATCATCCTCCTCATCCTTGTCCTCATCATCCCCTCCCCGTGAAGGAGGAAACGGAGGAGGAAGAGGACGCACCTGCAAGATCCCGACAGACACAGTTCCCTTGTGGGCAAGGGGGGAGTACATCTCTCCCCTCCTCGGTGCTCCGCCGCAAGTTCCACGCATGGCAAGCTTAGCCTCTAGCGATCTCCACCATCGGCCCCCCAGAGTCGGTCGACCCCACACTGTGTCTACATATATGCAGTATATGAATAAATCGTGTAATATATGTAGACAGTCTGGATTGTACAATCTCGGTTGTGCAATGTATATGGTGCAAAATAGGTGGTGCAATGTGCGGTGTGCACTCTATGTGGTCTGGTATGGGTTGTGCAACCCATGTGTTGCAATATATGCGGTTCAGTAAGTGCTGTGAAAACTATGCGGTGCAGCCTACGTGTTGCAATCTATGTTCGGCGACCTATGTGGTGAAATCTACGTGGTGCAGCATGTGGTGCAATGAATGTTGTGCACTCTACGTGGTGCAATCTATGTTGCGCATTCCATGTGATACAAATTATATGGTTTTGCGCAAGATATGTGGCGCAGTCTGTGCGGTGGTGGTGCAATCGATGCGGTGCAATAAAGGCGGTGCAAAATATGTGTTGAACACTTTATGTGGTGCAGTATGTGTTGTGGACTCCATGTGGTGCTTTCTATGCTCTGCAATCTATGTGGTGCCACATATGTTGTGAGCTGTATGTGGTTCAATCTATGTTGTGCAGTCCATGTGGTGCAATCTATGCGGGGTAATCTGTAGTGTGCAGCAGATGCTATGCAATACCTGTGGTGTGCTCTAGGGCGTGCACAATACGTAATGGAGTCTATGTTGCGAGCGACAAACAGCGCGCTGCAGGCGCGACAACAAAAACGTGCAATCTGCGTTATGCAATCTATGTGAGGCAACCTTTGTGGTGCAAAGTATGCGGTGCAATCTATGTTGTGCAAGATACGTGGTGCACTCTGTGTGGTCAATCATTGCTGGGCAAGGTATGTATTGCAATTTATGTTGTGCTATCGTCATAGTGCAACAATGTGCGCTACATGTAGTGACGCAATATAGGTTGCGTAATCTAAGTGGAACCATCAATGTTGTGCAAGAGCTGTGGCGCAGTCTATGCCATGTGCGATCGAAAAGCGCGCCGCAGGCGCCACTCTTTTTCTTGCAGCATATGTGGTGCGATCCAACGGCAGCGGCGGGCGCCGAAGAGAAGGCGACGAGGCGGCAACGGCGACCACGTGGCCGCCAGACCGCCCAACCGGCCCAGACGACTGGCGGCAACGAGGCAGCGACGAGGCGGCGACGGGGACCACGTAGCTGCCAGACAGCCCAACCAGCCCAGCTCCTTAGAGGACAAGTAAGAAATTCTGAGTGCAAGCACTAATTGGGGAACAATGCAAGGCAAAGCAATGCTCAGCACGGCAAAGCAAAATAGAGCAACACAGAGCAATCCGGTGCGCAGCGTAGAAATGCGAAGCCAGGCAATGCACCGCAAGGCAATGCAAAACGAGGCCAAGCATTGCAATGCTTAGCTTTGCAATTCAAAACAATGCTAAGAAATGCAAAGCAGCGAGGACCAGTGCAAACCAATGCAATGGCACGGCGTAGCAATGCGAAGCAACGCAAAGCAACGCAGAGCAACGCAGAGCAACGCAACGCAGAGCAAGGCCCAGCAATGCAAAGCACGGCCAGGCAATGCAGTGCTTTGCAGCGGCAAGCAATGCATAGCAACGAAGAGCAACGCAAGACAATGCAGCGCAACGCGACGGCGGCTGTGAAGCAGCGGCGACGAGGCGGCGACGAGGCGGCGACGGGACGCCGCCAGACTGGCACACAGGCCCAGTCTTCTGGACCAGAAAGGAAGACCCCGACGTGCAATCCACATGTATATCTATGTGCATATACGTGTCTATATATATATATATATGTGTGCATACATATGAGTCTCCTTGGTGGTGGTGACGGCAGAGATTCATATGACCGGCTGGCTTGAGCTAAGAGGCTACGGATGCTGCCCGTCTCCCGCTGCTTGCTCCCTGCTCCCCCTCTCGCCTGCGTCGGCTGCCGTGCCTGCGGTGCTGCAGGGCCAGGTGCTGCTCGCAAGACGCTGCTCCCTTGCCATCTCCTCTGTTGGGATGAGCAGTGCGCCCGAGAAAGTTCTCAGTCACACCTTTGACGAGACTTACCCTCTCCTGGGCCGTGTACCCCCAAACCTGGCAGGAACACGCGTATTTGTATACACACACGTATACATATACATATACGTATATATATATATATAAATACACACACACACCTGTACCTATTTGTAGACCTATACCCATACCTATACCTATACGACCACCCTTCTGGTGGTAAGGAGGTTGGGGAAGGGGGTAACGAACAAACTGCTGGCAAATGCGGTGGGTGTGATGATGACGATGCTGGTGACGCGCCCTCGAGATAGCGACGACGTGTGATCACGATGTTGCGCTGCGATGGAATGTCACTATCGTCCCCGCTGTCTATCTCACAACCAACGTTACAATCAACCTCACTGTCGATCTCATTCCCTACCTAGGCTCTGCCTAGAAGGGTTCTTACTCTCTTAGCTTAAAGGGGCCGGGCAGTGCAAAGCGCCCCGGGCGGTTCCCCCAGTCCCCGCCCCGCGGTTCCCCCCAGTCCCCTGGGAGCTTTAGCTTTAGCTTTAGCTTCAGCTTAGCTTTAGCTTAGCTTTAGCTTAGCTTTAGCTTAGCTTTAGCTTAGCTTTAGCTTAGCTTTAGCTTAGCTGTAGCTTAGCTTTAGCTTAGCGTTTCGCTTAGCTTTCGCTTAGCGTTTAGCTTAGCCTTAGCTTAGCTTTAGCTTAGCTTGAGCTTAGCTGTAGCTTAGCTTTAGCTTAGTTGTAGCTTAGCTTTAGCTTAGCTTTAGCTTAGCTTTAGCTTAGCTTTAGCTTAGCTGTAGCTTAGCTTTAGCTTAGCGTTTCGCTTAGCTTTTCGCTTAGCGTTTAGCTTAGCTGTAGCTTAGCTTTAGCTTAGCTTTAGCTTAGCTTTAGCTTAGCTTTAGCTTAGCTTTAGCTTAGCTTTAGCTCAGCTTTAGCTTAGCTTTAGCTTAGCGTTACTGTTACTACTAATGCTGCTTTCCTAGGGGTTTCAACTCCTAGGTAGGGTCGCACTGGGATAATTTTTGTTTTTACTATCCATCTCACGATAGACTTCACGATAGACTTCACTATCGACACCAACCGGCCACCGCCCGCCCACCGCCGACGGAACACCGACCGGACACCAATGGGACACCAACGGGACACCACAGGGGCACCACGGCGGGACACCCCAGGCCACCGCATACCCGCTGGGGGGTCATTCCTCTCGCGCGCCCACGCAGCTTGGTCTCTCACGCACGCACGACACGAACACGAAACCGAAACCTATTTCCTGGTGGGGGGCTCTCCGTTCCGCTGCGATCTCACCCCCCAACTTCCGATATATCTATATTTGTGTGTAGATGTACATATGTATGACCGCGGGCAAAGATTGTCGATGTCGGCGCTGTTGGCAGGGACAGGAACGATGAATGCGAGGGCTTGGGGCCCCTCCAGGGTCCAGATCTGGCCGAAACATCGGCGCGATCTCGCGACACGCCGACGGCAGCATCCCAGTCTGGACGAGATCGACCGACAATTCGGCCGGCGCCCGCCTGGATTTCGCGCCGTGGGCTGCGTTCTGCCGGCCCCGGCGTCAGAAGCGGCGACATATTTGGGGTGTTCCGCCCCGGGCGGCCGCGCTGGCGTCGTCGCCGCTGCGCCGCGTGTGGAGGCGAACTGGTCGGAATCCGGTCTCAGACGCCTGTACGGACGAACGAACGAAGTTTAGGTCGGGCATGTCCCCCTACAGGCGGATTTTGGATGGAAAATGATCAAAGATCAAATGCCCCAAATTTATTTTTGATAATATTCAAAAATAATCGAAAAATCGTCCCCATACCATGCTTAGACTATTCTTGAATATTCCTCGTGTAGTGGGACAGGCCCGACTTGGAACGAAGTGCCATGCGCCGGAGCGTGGATAAAAGAAGACAATGCCAGCCCAGACTCGCCGCTCTGCGGGAACGGCTGGCTGCACGTCGATCGTCTTCAAGCTTACAGTGCGTGCGGTTGGGGCTGTCTTCAACTACGTCAGATTTGTAGTTTCTCCATACGGGGCCCAAAAGTAGGCGTTTGTTCTTAGATCCTGGGTTTCCACATGTGGCCTCAGGGTTGGGGGAGGGGGGGGGGTCTGGAGGTCTGGGCCGGAGGTCTGGGCCCCTGCCGGACCACCCCAGCCCGACCCGACTACCCAGGAACCGGGTCGGGGGCGGCACAGTCGGACTTCATTGGACAGGACGCGCGAGAGGGCACAAGACCCTTCCGAAGGCCACACTGCCACAGAAATGGAGGAGGCATGGGTCGCGAGGCACAGTACACAAAAGTACCCTTGATTTGGCAGGGTCGACCCACTGATCCGGGCCGACTGTACGGGTTCCACACGTGTTTTGTTCACTGTGCCCCGACGCCGCCCCGGGAATCGAGGGCAAATGGGGGCCTACGGGTTGGGTCGGGGCGGTTTGCTGGGTGGCGACAGACGCCGACGGGGAAAAGACGCTGGAGGTCGGAGTCCTCCCCTGGGAGATGTACCTCTGGGCCTCTCCGGGGGCTCCTGGCGTGCGCTCTGGTGAAGATTTCCAGGAGAATCCATTCGTGGCGAGGAGATGCTCACCAAAGCCCCCCCCCCCGCCAAACAATATCGGCCCTCAAGACTGGACGACGACGACGATGACGACGACGTCGACGACGACGATGACGACGATGACGACGACGGCGACGACGGCGAATGACGGACGGACGGACACATGGACGGACGGACGGACTGACGGACGGACGACGACGGACGACCGACCACCGACCACCCACCATCAACCATCGACGACCGACGACCGACCACGGCGAGGACGGATGGCTATCCTCCATGGCCCGCCAAGTGCCCGTGTTGCGCATGTCCTGAGGAAACCAAAATGTACCGATACCGCTACTCCCCGGACCTCTCCTGGGGTGCGCTCTGACCCTGATCTCGAGGCGAACCCAGCGGCGGCGACGAAGGCCTCTGCAGGAGGCCCTAAAAAGGGAAAACGAGGGAAAGATAGCGGCATGTCCTGGAGCGGAAGAAACGGGGACCAGGACCAAGACTGAACGCGGAAACGTCGTGCCGAGCTTGGTCACCGTCCATCTTGGTCAGCGTCATTTCGAGGACCACCCTCGCGGCTCGGCGACGGCCGACATAGACCATGACCAAGAACGGCATCGACAAGATCCCGCGAAATCTTGGTCATGGCCCCGTGTTTGTTCCTCCTCCTATGTCCGGCGTCCAGTCGGGTGGCGCCGAGGTGCCCCTGGGGAGCGGCCAGCCCGTCTTGCAGCCGGGCCAGTGAAGCCGCGCGCCCCTCTTCACGGTGGGGCCTCCCCTGGTAGCTGCCCAACCGGGACCAAGACAGATTGAAGGGGCTCAGGCGGGGCACACAAATAACTAAACAGACACTAGTGCCAGGATTCCCCCCATGTTCCAGTATCTGCTGGGTGTTCGCCCTCCCCTCCACTTCACCCAGGTACTCGTACTTGCCTGGAAATAGACGTTCATTCGTGTCTGTGCCCCCGTGTGTTCGTGTTTCTTTTGTTGATTTTCTCACTCTCTCTCTCTTTCTCTTTCTCTCTCTCTCTCTCTCTCTCTCCTCGCAGGGCCAGGGCAGCTGACTCTACATATTGCAAGGACAAGTCTACGATCACTACTGCACATCATATTTCACGGAACTGCAGGCAACCAAGCAAGCTCTGGAACCTGTGGGAACGTGGCCTGCTTTCGCCACGGTGCCGTGAAAGCCACCACTGTCCGAAGCCGCACACGACTGGCCCTGTCTTGGTTTGGGGCCGCTGCCGCGAAGAACCAACATGGCCAGAGCCCCTGCGGTCCCAGGACTGGGCCGCCCTCCAGCCGGCCCCGCTGGAGCGGCGCGGAGGGCCCCGCGCGGCCCCTGGCGAGCCCCCTGCATCGCCTGGCGCCCGCGCAAGAGCAGTCGTGGCGGCCGGCACGGCCTCCGTCGGGGCCTCTGGGGGCCCGCTTCCCAGAGCCACCCGAGGGAGGTCCGAGGAGAGGGATCTGCTGGGTTTTCCGTGTAGTGTGTCGCAGTGTTCTGGGTAGCCTGTCGCCTCCTCCTCCTCCTGCTGCTCCTCCTCCTCCTCCTCCTCCTCCTCCTCCTCCTCCTTCTCCTCCCCCCGCCTCAAGGTGGGTATTTTGCAGTTGCTCGCCAGTTTCCGAGGAACCTGGGCGAGGCCGTCGTCGTTCGTGAACTGTTCGAGCAGCAGGTCGACTGCATAATCGATGTGCCCCAAAATTGCAATTACTGCAAACTTCTCCAAAAACATCGAACGTTCGCAGACCTACTGCGTTTTCTGCGTGGTCTGTCGCAGGCTCGACGACAACAAATAGTAAACCAACGACTCAGTCGCGCTCCGACCCGAACGAGTCACGACGACGACGACAGCACCGCCCAGGTGGCCCGGGAGAGGGCGAACCACCGCAGCGCCCTCACCGAGAGGCCGGGGCCCGAGCACCGCACGGCGCTGCCGACGCACCGGTGACCTCAGCACGAGCGGGAGAGTGCGAGCGTCGTCGTCGACGTCAGCACTCTCGTTTGGCGGCGATCGGCGGGAACGGCAGAGGAACGGAGGTCGACGTCATCGTGGTCGTCGTCGCCGTAGTTCCCCTCCCCTTCCTCCTCCTCCTCCTCCTCCTCCTCCTCCTCCTCCTCTTCTGCTCCTCCTCATCCTCCACCTCCTCTTCTGCTCCCCCCCCTCCTCCTCTTCTGCTCCTCCTCATCCTCCTCCTCCACCTCCTGCTCTTCCTCCTCTTCCGCCTGCTTGCTGATTGCAGAGGGCGCGAGAGTCCGTTTTGGATGCGGCCTCCTCCCCCCCCCGCATGGGGCCGTTGCCCCCGAGATGTTTGCAGAAAGCCGGAGTGCGCTGCGAAGAACAGCACGACGCGACGCAGCCTGCGGCGTGCGTGGGCTGCGGTTCCGGTGGCTGGCGGCGGCGACACCCGTGACCCCTCGGCCCGCCGCGACGCCGCGCGACGCTCGAGACCCTGAGGCCCGTCGCGCCGCCCTCCGCCGAGCAGGGGCGGAGGGAGGCAGGGGCGCGGGGGGAGTGGGCAGCGGTGATGTTTGAGCTGTTGCATATTTATATATATATATATAGACATCACTCGCGGTGTCTGCACTGGGAGACGGGCAGCCGAGGTCGCGGCAAAACTGGCGCGCTCGGTCTCGGGGCTCCGGTCCCCGAGGAGAATGGCCGGCGAAGGTGTGTATGATGTTGGCAGAACCATGTGGGAATGAGAATGAGAGGGGCGACGAAAAGACAGGCGACACGAATCATCAGCGGTGATGTTCTTGCTGGGTGGCTCGGCCGTGTGAGCCGCCAGCGTTGTTCACGCCGATGCGGTTCCGCCGAGATTGCGGAGGTGCGGTGAAATCATGACGGAGGTGGGGGCACATGAGGAGGCGACGGAAGCTAAGACGAATCACGCATTGGCAGCTGATGTGGTGTGGCCAGTCTGCGCGGCCGCACTTGGAGGTTACAGGCTGGTCACGGTGCCCTTTTGTAGTCGGCCCGGAGACCGCAAAGGGCGCCCTCTGAAGAATACACAGGCGGCCCTCGCAAGCTCCCTTGACCCGTTCCCAGAGTCCTCTCCAAAGCGCAGATCCTATTCGTCCCTGCGCTGGTCGCACGGAGTGAGAAAGGCTCCAAGCTGGCGGCCCGTCGCGGCCTGGGCCAACCAAGGGACCCTGGGTGTGGCAGCTCACCCCTGGCATCAATCCCGGTGGTGTTCTTCGCCGGTTCTTCTCGGGTCAGCCCCAATGATCTGCACGGCCTTGTGGCACGGGTGAGCGAGCGGGGGAGGGGAAAAGGAGATATACGCAGTGGACCGTGCTCGCGGGCTTGGCTCGGCCGCCAGCGGCCGTGCTCTCCTCCCGGGGCCCCAGCACTAGGGGCGCACACGGCAGGCTACCGCCCACACGGCGGCACGCGCCAGAGCCGAGGGTGGGGGGGCCCAGAGCTCCAGCTGCAGAGGCCCAAGACGAAGCCAGGACGAGGCCAACATCGGGTGAGGATGAACATCGAAAATCTCTGAGACCCGGCGGGGATCGGGGGTTGGCAATTGTGCCCCGGCCCAAGGTTTAGGTCGGGCATGTCCCCCTACAGGCGGATTCAGGGAAATTGAAAATAGCCACAACATGCTCAAACATTATCAAAATGATAAGAGAAATCGTCCCCATACCATGTTGTTACTATTTTTGATATTCCTCCTGTAGAGGGACGTGCCCGACATAACCCAAGGTGCCCCCAGCTATTCGCTCAATTTTGGAGCCTCTGGGGCCCTGTGGGCCTCGTGGGGGGTGCTCTGGAGGCCGTGGGGGGCTCCTTGGACATCCTGGGGGCACCTTGGGCCACAGGCTCTTCCAGCAATCTCCGACTGGAGAATGTCTTCTCAGAGCGTCCCGGAATGCTCGGAAGGCGTGCCGGAACGCTCTTGAACGGATTTATCCTCGTCCTAGCCCCGTCTGAAAGCCTCCCAAATAGGGTCCGGGTGGACGTGGTCGGAGCATTGCACCTCATCGCAGATGCATCGCCGATGCATCGGCGATGCATCGGTGATTCATAAGCGACATCGACGGTGCGTCGGCGATGCGGCGCCATTCTGCGGCCCCATCTGCTCCGACCCCATCTGGGAGGCCTCGAGAAGGGGCCCACATCGTGCACAAATCACGGCTTCGAAGGTCTGGGGCTGTTA